AGAGAGAGAGAGAGAGAGAGAGAGAGAGAGAGAGAGAGAGAGAGAGAGAGAGAGAGAGAGAGAAAGAGAGAGAGAGAGAGAGAGAGAGGGGTTTGATTGAATAGAAATGAATAGAAGTGAATTAAAAACTGGATAGAATTTGACACAAAATTGAATAGAAATAGAAAGGAAAAAAAAAAATAAAAAATCATACCATTACATAAAAAGAATAGAAAAGATTGATCAGGTAAGATAGATAAGAATAAGAAAAAGAATGGAAACGAAACGGTTTTCACCTTTTTGCAGTCATAGATGCGGGCCCTAGACCCCCGAGTGTTTGAACCCGTGACCTGTGTTTCGATAGTTGTTGTTTGTCTGTCGTAGGTCTGTGTAGATGTAGGGGTTCGATCTGTAGGTCTGTCAAGTAGGGGTCCTAGGTGTGTAGAGGTCGACACTGCTAGGCTAGAGGTCTGTAGGTGAGTCGCAGGTCCAACTGCGTTCAGTCGGCAGTGCAACCTCATACAGTCAAAGTTGCCAGTCCCAGTCCTACCGAGACCGGTCAAGCAAGTACCGTGTGGGACTGTACACATCCGAGGGCCTGGTGGAAAGGGGCAGACCAGTGGCAAACAGAAGTATAAATCAAGAGTAGCGCCCAGCAATTCATTCATTCGTTCCGTAAGCCATGCGGAAGCGCAGCTACAGCGTCTTGTGCGAAGGTGGTCTGCAGGTTGCCCGAAGACGAAGTGGGCTGAAGAGTGAGATCGTAGCCATAGTCAGTAGAGGTAGAGCGGCCATAACCGCGATAGGAAGAAGATAGGTTCAGTGTGTGTGTGTGGTGGTATTCAGGGTGATCCAGAGTTGAGTATGTCCGAAGGGTGGCGTTGGACACAGTGACGAGAGTGGGTGCCATAGTTTGTCGAAGTGATTTTGCATCTAAACTGTGTTCTCGTTTTCCATATCTCCGAGTTTTGAGTGGCCGCACTGCGCCAGAGTGAATCGCCGTCTGTATGCATGTATGCGAAGTGGAAAAGAAAGCAAGTCTGATTGCATTGGTATCAGAGCTGGTTCCCGTTACCCCCCGCGCCATCATCGTTGCCGGCAGGAGAAGCGATGCGCGCCAGTCAGGCGCCATAGCCGAGGTGCACCGAGGGAGATGTGAAGTCTGCCATAGCTGCGCTGCGGAGAGAAGGTGCTGGGTACCTGCATAGAAGACAACGACGGAGAGAGAGAGAGAGAGAGAGAGAGAGAGAGAGAGAGAGAGAGAGAGAGAGAGAGAGAGAGAGAGAGAGAGAGAGAGAGAGGGAAAGGAGCGATACAAGATTGTTGTGCGGCGCAAGAGAGAAGGCGGCCATAGCCGCGGAGCTCGGACACAGGGTTACTACAAAGAAGCGAAGAAGGTGAAACGAAGGAGAAGGGAGGAGAGACGAAGAAGAGATAAACCATAGCCGAGGAAGAAGAAAGGAGGGACGACGAAGAAGAAGAAGGAAGACATCGACGGGGTGAAGCGAGAAAGAAAGAGAAAGAAGGAAGGAGGGAGAAGAAAGACAAGGAAGGTTGGTGAGGAAGAAGGGGGTCGGCAGCCATAGCCGAACCAAGGGTTGACTAAGGTGTTGACCGAAGGGTTGACCAACGTTGACCAAAACTTTGACCGGAGAGTTGACCGGCGAGCTGTTTGGCGTTGACCGAAGAGTTGACCAAGCGTTGACCAGCGTTGACCGGGGTTGTTGACCACGAAATTGACCAAGCTGGAGTTGGTATATTCTCGCCAAGCCTTCAGCCTATCCCCTCGCCCTATGGATGTGCACCCCATGGTACTTGTTGAGTCTGTCTGTCTCTTCTTTCTGCATTGAGTCGCTTCTGTCCAGGTGATAGGAACTCTGTGAATGAGGTCATAGAGCTTTGTTGACCAAACCCACACGGGTTGAGTAGGGCTAAAGGCTGTCTGACGACTCGACTGACCCGGAGGACACGAACCCTCCCAAGGACCGGTACAGACCAGCGGGCTGCTCGGTGTGGCACAGTAGGCCCAAAATCCGAGTTGTGGGCTGCACAACAAGCTGTCTAAGTCTTGAGAGGACTTGCTGATCGCGTCGTCCAGTTTGCGAAGTTAAATAATTCCAGAGGAGTTACGGGGGATCTCCTTAAATGCCTCTTGATCAGCAGTAAGTCCTGTAGTGACAGCCTTAGTTTAGGTCTAGGCTAGAGACCCTAGTTGACAGAATCTTGCTAAGATTCTGTGGTCCTTAGATTGAGTCAGTCCTAAGTTAAGTCAGTCAGGGGTGTGAGTCTAAGTGGTGAGGAGTGGAACTGATTCTAGGTTGTGCACCTTCACCATGGTTGACCTACGGAGTGGAAAGAGTACCACCCCTTACACGAAAGCTCAGGAAGAGCAAGCCGCCGCCATATTGCAAGAGAGAAAAGAGAAAGAGACCAAGGAGTAGACTAGATAGGCCAAAAAGTTGGCCCTACAGGAGGAGCAGGCGGCGAAGAGGAAGAAGTTGGAGGAAGAGATGGAGAGATTGTTGAAGGAGGAGGAAAAAAAGATGAAAGTTGTAGAAGAGGAAAAGGTAGAAGAGGAGGAAAAGGAAGAGTCCTTGCTCCGAAGAAGCGCAGAGCAGAGAGGGGAGTCCAGTGGCACAAAGAAGGGGGACTCATGGATGGAGAAAAAGATCTCTGAGTGCGTAGCAAATTTGTCTATGGGAGAAGAGGAAGAAGCCATGTTGTATGTTCCCCCGGAGGAGAAGGAAGCAGTTATCAGGGAGTGGGAGGCAGAAAAGGACCCCTTGAGACGTCAGGCTATAGAGGAGGAGGAGAAGTTACAGTGGAAGCTGCGTCTCACTACGGAGAAGAAGAGGAGGATGGATGAGGCAAGCAAAATGGCGAGGGAGATGGAGGCGATAAAGGCGCAAAGGGAGGAGATTCAGGCGCAAGAAGATATACAGGGAAAATTAGATGTTATTTTAAGACATATAGAACTCCTAGCTAGAGCCTGGGAAGAGCAACATCAGTTTGCTAGAGCCCAGGATATTGCGTTACACTCCATTCGCCCGGGATTCAGGAATTTTGCACGTGAGATGCTGCTGCACGTAGGTGCAGAGATGCAGGCGAGGATAGAGGGCACGGAGAAATTCTGCACAAGTGCCATTGAGGGCACAAAGATGGCCACTCTAAAGGAGGAGGTACGTCCCCATAGAGAGCCTGTTAAGATCAAGTTTCCCGAACCCTACAGTGGGAAGAAGGAAGAAAATTTCGATAATTGGGAGGCGAGTATCAACTTGTACATCTATTTACAGCATATCGTGCCTGCGGAACAAGTCCTCATTATTGCCTTCCAGGCTCTCAAAGACGAAGCGGCTAGCTTCGCCAGATCCCTCGCTTGCGCTGCACAATGCGAAATGGTAGCGTATTCTAAAATCACTCCTTTCCCTAAATTCCTTAAACTGCTAAAGGAGAGATTTGCAGATGTCACGCGAGGCGTCAGGGTCTTTGACAAACTGCAAACTATCCACTCACACCAATGGAGGACTGCAAGGGCACTCAAAGGCGTTATGGATGAGCTAGTGGTCGTCCCAGACCACAGGGTCATTGAGGCCCTGTTGGTCAACCTCTTCTATCATGCCATGCCAGAGCCCCTACGAGTACACTTCTTCGAAAAGAGTCGACGGCCCACCATGACATATGATATACTGAGTAGAGAGGCGGTGTTGTTCGAGGCATAGTCCATGCCCGTTTCCACTTTCTAGCACAAGGACTTAGATAAGGGCAAAAAGTGAAAAGGTCGTACCATCTCAGGTCAAGTGAGGGCCGAGGATCATTTGATCCTTACTTTGGATGAGGGTGGTATGGACGAGGTCCCGTATAGCCAGATTGAGTGGGGCTTGGAGGAGGAGGACAGTAGTGGGGGTGAGGGGAGGACCTACGCTGTTGTCGCGGCTGGAGGGAGGCCGCAAGGAAGAGGAGGAGGCCAGGGCCAAGGGGGTCGGGCCTCAGGCGGCTACTCCTGATCTGGAGATGACTGCGCAGTCTTGCTTGGATGTGATTAAAGGCACGGTTCCCTCTATTGTAACACATCGCCTCGGGCTCGGACTCATAACGTATACGGATTGGCTTCCCCTCATGCGGGATTTAGTTAGGTTGGAGGCACAAGACCTCCCAGGTGGATCGGGTGGCAAAAAGACCACCAACCGCAAACGGTTTCTAAGCAGCAACCGTTTTGCAGCGCACGATCTACTAGAGGTTGACGAGGAGACCTTCGCAGAGGACCCTTCTCTTGGTGACAATCAAGAGCAAGACTGCGAGGCATCTTGCTCTTCATCAGCCCATGAGTCTGATTATGTGGATGATGGTGAATCAATGAATGTCTTCAAGAAGATTGCCTTCAAAAGTAAGGGACCGAGGAACACAGTGAAGAACAATACTAACACCATTCTCCTTCCCAAGGGAGTGAAGATTCCACCCAAACCGAAAGATCATGCCACAAAACCATGGGTAGATCTCCAGATCAGTGAAAGTGAGTGGAAACACAGGGTGAAGAAGGGAGTTTGCCTGCACTGCACCAAACCGGGACACCCAGTCCAACATTGCTTCAGATTGCAACAGGGAAACCAACAAAGGGGGTAGAGACATCATCAGCACACTCTACAGACGGAGAGGTTGAACATGTAAGTGCAGATCCTTTGCCGGATTCTGATCCTACTCAACAAACCTCTCTTGAGACCCCATTTGATACTGATTGCAAGGTTGAGAAACTGCACATCCTCTACAAGGAGCCTTGGGTGGAGTCGGAAGAAATTGACTTTCATGCTCTCTTGTCGCGCTAGGCTCACATGAAGCAAGAACGCACGCAAGGGAAAACGAAGTTGATCTTTTTCAAACTCCCCATTAACGGCTGTTACATCCGTGCCTTGGCTGATTGTGGCGCAACCGCCAACTACTCACCGCACGGCATTCGTAAGGCACGCTTGGGAATGAAGCAAGTGACTTTGCAGAATCCTTGTCGGACCCAAGTGAGCAACCAAGAGGTTGTCACATCTACGCATGCAGTTAAAGGTGTGCTCACTACCTTTGATGCAGACCGCACAATCACGCATGAGTTGAACTTCTATGTCCTTGATAAGTGCCCCTTCGATGCGGTTATTGGCTTGGGTTGGTTACAGGCCCAATGTGAAAGAACCATGTGGAAGGACTCTCAATTCATGGTCAAAGATGCCATGGGAATCGAGCGTCCAGTCCTCTTGGATGAGCCACACGAATCCTAAGTGACTTTTCTCAATGCCATGAAATTCTGCAAAAATTGGCGCAGGCGCAAAGTTGATGAGCAAATGTATGTAGCCTTTGTTAGGCCTGCTCATGTGCCTTGTATTTTTGTTGTACATAATGATTCTACTTTGCATGTTGTTTCTACTTCTAATTTAACTACTTCTACCTCTGCTACGTCTACTTCTAGTCCAAACGACTCTGCTTCAAATCCTGTTGTGTCGGCTTCACCTATGCAATCCGGTATGCTTGCACGAGAATATGATGATCCACCTCCGGAAATCCCATCAGAGATCCGTAGCCTTCTCAACCGATTTCCTGAAGTTTTGGCCGAACCGCATGGAGTTCCCGTGCGTCCCGTCCGACACAAGATCGAGTTGATAGAAGGCAACACTCCTCCAAAGGGTTGTGTCTGTTGAATGGGCTCAGGCAAATTGGAGGATCTGCAAAGGCAGATCGATGACATGCTTGAGAAAGGTTGGATCAAGCCAAGCGAATCTGAATTCGGTGCACCTCTTTTGTTTGACCCGAAGAAAGGAGGCAAGCTATGGATGTGTATTGATTACTGCAGGCTGAACAGGATAACAAGACAGAATGCATACCCTTTGCCACGCATTGATGATTTGCTTGATGCTGCAGGTGGATGCAAGGTCTTTAGCATATTCGATCTCAAGTCTGGCTACCACCAGATTGAAGTCGACCCTGCAGACCAGCATAAAACTGTATTCAAAACTCGCGATGGGCTGTACGAATTTACCATTATGCCCTTTGGCCTCACGAATGCACCGACCACTTTCCAAAGTTTCATGGACAAAGTGTTCTGCAATCAGATCAATCGATTTGTTGTTGTTTATTTGGATGACATACTAATCTTCAACAAGTCGATGGAGGAGCACATGAGACACCTTGACAAGGTTGCAGATCCTGAAGGATGCGCAACTCCATCTCAACTTGGAGAAATCTGAGTTTGGGAGGAACAACATCATCTACCTTGGACATCGGTTGCCTACTGCAGGTCTAGAGCCTGAGGCAACCAAAGTTGAGGTCATCCGCAACTGGCCTCAATCGCCAAATGTTCGTGAGTTGCGTTCTTTTCTTGGTCTCGCGTCATACTACCCGTAAGTTTGTTCCCAAATTTTCTATCATCGTCCGTCCGCTGTCCAAGTTGACAAGTAAGAATGTGTCTTACACATGGGATGGGGAATGCACAACAACCTTCCAAGCATTGAAGGAGGTTTTGGTGAGTCATCCGGTGCTCCGCATTGCAGATCCTAAACTTACATTCGTAGTAACTACGGATGCAAGCTTGTATGGGATTGGTGCAGTGCTGCAGCAAGATGATGGTGACGGCTTACGTCTGCTTGAGTATTACAGCACACGCATGCCGAGTCACAAGGTAGCTGCCTCCACTTACACGCGAGAACTCTATGCCTTAAGAGAGGCACTAGATCATTGGAAACACTACCTCTTGGGTCGTCATTTCAAAGTGTTCTCAGACCACGAGACTTTGAAATGGATCCAGACGCTGATTAATCCATCAACTACATTGACTTACTGGCTACATGAGATTAATGTGTATGATTTTGAACTCAAGCACAAGAAAGGTTGTTACAATCGCGTTGCGGATACTTTGTCTCGTCATCCTGAGTACATGACTTGCCTTGTGGGTTCCTACGATCTCCATAAGAATTTGAAGGAGGAACTCATCGAGCATATTGTCAAGGACCCGAAACTTAGTACCATCCTTGAGCAGATCCAGGCTGACCCTAGCAGCCAGCCTGATTTTCATGAGTGTAAAGGTTTACTCTTCCGACGTTACGGGAAGTACGACCGACTCTATGTACCCAACCATGAGCCTATCCGTACTCACTTTTTGGACTTAGCTCATGGCCGGAGTGGACACTTCGGTTTTGATAAGATATACGGAAGTCTATTGCAAAAGTTTGTATGGCCTGGGATGAAAGAAATGGCACGAAAGTTTGTGGCTGAGTGTGAAGTTTGTCAACGCATCAAACCGTCTCGGCAAAAGCCCTATGGGCTGCTGCATCCTCTTCCTATTCCTGATGCCCGGGTGAGTCTCTTTCCATCAACTTCATAGACATGGGAAAGAAGAGCAGGAACAACTATTCACAAGTAATGGTGATCGTTGACCGCTTTTCAAAATTTCTGAATCTGATCCCATTACCACCTCACGCCCCAACTGACCTTGTGATCAAAGAGTTTCACAAAAAGTACATTCTGCAGTGTGGGCTCCCGAAAACTCTTGTGAGTGACCGGGACACTAGGTTCATAAGTGCAAATTGGAAGGACTCCACCTCCCAGATCTACGACATCACACTCAAGATGACGTCTGGCCGACCTCCCGAAGCCAATGGACTGGCCGAAGAGATCAATCAGACTCTGATCCAACTTCTCCGAGCTCTAATTGTACCTGATCAGAACTCTTGGGATGAGGAATTGTCAATTATACAGGGATTGTACAACAACTCCATACGCTCCTCCACCGGGATGACACCTAATCGGCTGCATCTCGGTTTGCAGATTCGCAATCCCCTATCCTACCTGTTTCCTGATCCGCCACCTGGGCTAACACCTGGCCAGCCAGGCTACAGTGCTAAGTTTGATCGCTTGATCAAAGTTGTTGTTGCAGCTATGGAAAGGCGATGCGGTGCCATGATTAAGCATGCTAACAAAAAGCATCGGCCTTAACCTTTCACAGTGGGAAGTTACGTCTGGGTCAAAATGTTCGAGTTTTCTGAAGAAGGTGTATCACGAAAGCTTCTTCCTCAGTATTACGGTCCATGGAAGGTGTTGAACCAAGTAGGGAATGATTCGTTTGGTCCTTCTTATACGATCGACGTGCCTCCTCATCTGCGCACGTACCCAGTTTTTCACGTGTCAAAGTTGTTTTTGTATGAACCACCCGAAACTTTCCGGTATCGAGAATCAATGATTCCTCGTGCAATCAAGGGCGGTCACGAGGTTGATAGAATTGTCGAGCACAGTGGAAAAGGGAGAAACAGACAATACAAAGTTCATTTTTTATACCACCCATTGAATGACTTTTACTGGATTGCTAAGAAAGACTTGTTGCAGAGTGCCCCGCGAGTCGTCAACGCATATGAACGACTGATTAGCTCCGAACAGCAACCTAAATTCACTGCGACCATCACTCCTATGGAACGTACCCGATCTCTCTTTGCCATTTATCCAGCTTCACGCCTACACATTACTGTGTAAGTACCCCAAAATGATGAGGTGCCAAAACGACTCCGTCGATATGAGCTCTTGGGAGTCATCAGTCTGTTATCCCCGGCGTACCTTTGATCCGTTGAGTGAGAGCCCTTCTAATTTTGGTCTTGACATTGCTCTACATGACACTTATTATGTAGTAGCACACTTTCATTACGTACTTTCTATGGGAGCCGTATTCGCTCTATTTGCAGGATTCTACTATTGGATAGGCAAAATCTTTGGACTTCAATATCCATAAACCTTAGGTCAAATTCATTTTTGGATTACTTTCTTTGGTGTGAATTTGACTTAGGTCTTGTGGGCATGCCACGCCGCATTCCGGATTATCCAGACGGTTATGCCGGATGGAATGCACTGAGTAGTTTTGGCTCTTATCTTTCTGTTGTAGGAATTTTAGTCGCTTATGATGCATTATGCAAGGACTCTATTTGAGTTACTCTCTCGAAGGGACCTCGCTCTTGAGGGGGGGGGGTAGTATAATGACCCGACCCGCCATAACACAGACTGAGAACACTGCTGATTTATGAAGTTCTGCCGATGGAATGGATGCCTTGCTGAGATTCCCCATTCTGCTGAGTTTTCTAAGTTTGTATGTGTGTCTGCTTGTTGACCTGCGTGCTTGTCTGAGTGCTTGTCGGTATGAGTGTGTGTGACCCTCAAGAGTACTTGCTTGTTTGGCAGGCCCGTAGGGCCGGTACTTACGTGTGGTCGTGACATTGAGGGTTGCAGCAGGGGAAAACACTCAAGTGGCGGAGCCAAAGGCCCGCGGCACCTAGAGCAGCAGAAAAACACTCAAGTAGCAGGTAGGCCGGTACCGCACCCAATAGCAGGAGATGTGCCGGGTACTCAAGGCCGAGCAGAAGAAGACAAAGT